GAAGTTCGTCGTTGTTTATTAGGCGCTCTGCATGAACTATAACGACATTGTGTGTCCGTTGTCCATCTAATAATACACGGGTATCGCCCCGGTGCCGGATATTGTTATAATTCGACCTGAAAATTATCAAATTATTCTGATCAGATTCCGTCGGACATTAACCGGCAATTGAAAACACAGTGAACTTTTTATATTGGTTCTGAGGTCGTTCCAAATACGAACGCGTGCAAGTGCAATTATACGGCGGGGAAATCGATACGTGGGTTACGCGTGAAGTAAGGCGATGAGATAACTCCGCGCGGGTTACCGGAAGCGTCGGCCATTTTGATCTATAACCCCGAGCCATCTTCTGCGCGTGGCGATGAAACTTGCGATTACGCGGAGGAAACGTTTCGTTGAAGTGTTGTCGCGCGGAGGAGACGATGCATCGTATAAATCTTTTTCCATTATTCTGAAGTACGTACGAGAGCGACGGCAATATCGTATTAAAGTACTCGCGTTAATAGCGATTGACGGCTAATCCTTTCCCGAGAACAAGGAGACAAGGAGCAAGCAGTTACGAAACTCGCGTCGCAGCAGCTCGTCATTATTTTCTTGCGTCGGTGGAATGGATAAGCGGCCGTAAACACATCGGTGATGCAATATCTCTAACAAAAAGTAAACAGTTCGAAGTAGCTACCAAGCAATTAGGATCAACCGATCTGTCATTTATTAACCTATATTTACCTTAAATTTATTTGATCAAGTCGTCAGGATCATCGATATATTGTATAATCAGCAGAGCCTGTATTTATCTCAATTTGATTTAACAACTCGAGTAAGGTGATATCAAAGTCGATCCACCGTTCTATGTTCATTAAAACATTGCTACGATCGTGCTAGTCTTACGATCGAATCCGGTCGACTTCCTCGAATCAAGGTTAGGTCGTCGAACGCGAGCAACGGGACTAGCCAAAACACGAAAATCAGATGTAAATGAATTCGTGACAGTGAAATCGGGTCCATTCGCGTCTGTTATTCATTACACATCGAAATTCCACGGGGAAAATATATCTCGGCTGCGGTCTAACCTGTTTTTAGATTTTCAGTTAAAAACACCGTTGCGCGTCGGTACTGTTTGCGATCACCTAACCTAATTATTGCTTGCGCGTTTTTACAGTTAATCAACGAATCGACGATCGAAACGTTTGTTTGAACGCAGGAAAGAAAAAGCGTAGGAGTTCGATCATTCGACGATAAACGCTGTATTCATTCACCGTGGACGCATTTATCAACCGATAGCCTTGTTTCCCGCGCAAACCGGAGCGCCTGATTCGCCGGCGCACCCCGTCGGTGCTCCTTCAATTTTCAAACCGCGGACGCTGCTTTACCAACACGATCCAGCTCGTAATTATCGATCTTTTTTCTATCGTTTTATCGTTCATAAACTGCATTTCTTCGTTCCAACTCGAATTCGTACTCGAATCCTGTTTCAGCCAGAACGCACGCAAGCAACGAAAGTCGTCCTGGCGTAAAAAACATGCTTTTACGCAGAATTTCCGAGAGAACGAATGATCACCGTCCCGTCGCGGTAAACTGAAATTTCTAGGAAATGAAGAGAGCTTGGAACGAGACCTGCGTGTCGAAGTTTGGCCGTGGATCTTCATTAATGTCCGAGGTATTACGCATAGTTCCGTGTTCGAACGCTTTAAAATTCAACATTCAGTATTCCCAACGGTTCTCTCTGGCTACCCTTAAACTTTCAATCCATTGCGACAAGAGGACCGTGGCGAAATCTTGATTAACACTTCGACCGGACGACATCAATTACATTTTGCGGATCCTAATAAACCTCGTGAGATACAACAAATGTTAGCGTACAAAATTACTTCTCGCGTCGGTGAAAGCGTTAAAAAAAGTGGTAGATCTCGTCGACGGTGAACGAGGAGCAACGTCCGCACACGACGAACAATAGACGAGACCTCGAATCGTATATGTATACCGATAGAAACGTCTTCGGATCTGTTCCTTGAAGCAAAGATGAGATCATCCACGTGACGTCAGAGTGTCACAAGATGTACAAGCTATGTTATCAGCTAACATACATTGGAATACGACGTGCACATTAACGAACATGCAAAACTATTCATCTTTCAGAAAACAAAGTCCATTGATTCGAAGTACGGAGTTATGCATATTTCGAGAAGAACAATGTCGCGGAATCTATTCGAAGCTTAATCGAGACGTCGACGCCGGGGTTTTATTTCCATCCAATTAAAATATGATTTCGAACGATCATCTTTTATCCCGCGTGACGTCAGAGCGGACGGTTATCCTCGCTTCGACGAACTACATACTCTCGGCTTTTCTGTCGCACGCGCTATACGCACGTCCGTACACGTGCCGTGTCTAGTGGTATACATGATCTAAGGACGCCGGCCTAAACCGGGATCCCCGGATTGAGAACCGTCCATAGCGATTCCCATGAGCCCCGCAAGATGTCGTCCGGTCGGCGGTAGTTTTCTTCCGTGGGCACGGCGTGGCGGCCCTCGGTTTCCGTCGTCTTTGTCGCGTCGTCCTCGCCGTGGATCCTCGCCTCCGCCGCGATCTTCTTCGTTTTGTTGGCCGTTTGGTCGCGAGCGGGCACCCGAGCCGAACTGGAAAACCCGTAGAAACCTTGGAATCGATCCCCTTGGATCGGTGGCGGTGGTGGTGGTGGTGCGGTTGATCGACAGGGGCCGGGCGAGAGCACGGGCGAGCACGGGCGAGTGTGTCGGTCTCGGGGAGAGAGCAAAAGGGAACGAAGAGAGAGAAGAGGAATCAATCGCATGGAGATCGGGCGACGTCTGGGTGGGAGATCCGTATGCGAGCTGCACGTAGAGTCGTGACAGGTTACGAACACGCTCGGTGCTGGAAAGTGGGAGGCCCGAAACGGGAGGAAGAGAAAAGGAAAAGAGGACGGAAGGAAGGAGAAAGGAGGGAGGGAGAGGTAGAGAAGAGAGAAAGAGAGAGAGAGATAGAGAGGAGAGGCGCAAACTGTAGTATAGAATGAAGCACCGTGGCACGGAGGAGTAGGGTGACGAGTTTGCTGGCAAGGTGGACGGGCCGGGCGGTCAGGTAGCGTGAACTGTTAAACGGCCGCGCGTCGTAGAAAAAGGAACCGTCAGTCGAGTGCGGCCGCGTGCACAGGAAACTGTCGGCACAGGAGGGATTCGTTTGACACTTCTCCTTCCTCTCTTCTTATATTCTTTCGTTTTGATTTTTCTCTTGTTTCCTCCTTTCTTTCTTTCTCTCTCTTTCTCTCTCTCTGCCCTGTTTGGTTCTCCCTCGGGTGTCCCGCGCGTGTAACGCCGCCACCGGCCCACACCGGCCCGCGACGACCACGGATAGGAGAAGGAGGAGGCGGCGGAGGAGGAGGAGGAGGAGGAGGAGGAGGAAGAAGACGACGACGCGTGCCGCCGATGAAGAAAACCGGCGACCGCCAGTCGTCGTTCTTACTCGCGTGCACTCGCTCGTGACTCGTGACTCGTGATAGTAACAGCGGCGAGCGTGCTTGCCGTGCCGAATCGTTCGCGCGAAACGGCTACCGAAACAGATCGTTCGCCGAGTGTCGACCGCCGTCGGTGGACCGTCCGTCGCGAGAGTCCCCGCCAGAGGATAGACGCGTCCGTACGCCGCGACGACCGCTGCATGTACACAAGGCGCAGGTGACAGCGAGAGAGAGCCACGGCCGCGGGACATCCTCGAGAGGAACGCATCCTCGCCGGCTACCTGGGCGACGAGAAACCGTGGACGAGGTTGTTCCAACGGGATTCGCTACGGGATCACCAGCCACGTAAACAAAGGTGGGTGTTGCCTGCATCGATGATATACGCCGCGCCGGAACAGTGTGTGCGCGCCAAGGCGTGCCGCCGGCGCGCCTTTTGAGGTTAGGAGCGACACCGTTGATCGATCCTCCCATACCCAGAACCGGACGGGACGGGACGGGAGCCGACACGATGCGAACCGTTTCCCCGTGGATTCTCTGTGTGAAATATGTTCGCGATCACGTTGCCCGGCGATCGGCGGATTCGTCGCCGATCGTTCTGCGGCCGGGAACGACGCGAGTAACCGCGCAGTTTTCCCGGGTAAACGGCTCGCGGCACCGTTACAGGAGTCCCGGTAGAGCGCGACCTAACCTAGAAAAGCGAGCCGAGATTGTTGTCGGCCGCGTCGGCGAGGTTCGATTTTTTTCCCGGTTACCGGTAACCAGACTGCGGATTTTGTGGTTTTATGGCGGTTCACGGGGATCCGTGCACGTCGGGAAAAGCTGTGGAACACGTCGTCGCCGTGTTCACGGAGTCACGGAAAATTATTCGAGTGTTCCAACACGCCATTCCGAGAACGTCCACTTGGGTGCTTAATGATTTTTGTGCTGCAACCAGAGTACGCTCGACGGAAGCAGAGAGTAAGTGTATACGTTGCATACGCTTTGCATGCTCTCTCGTGATTTTTGTCCGAAAACTGTTCGATAATGTTTCGCTTTTACATTGGAATTTTACCTGAACAAAGCAAATGCAGCGACCACGAGCAGGTTAGCGGAGCCGGTTACCGGTTATCGCCGGCCCTTTCGGTTTCTTCTCGGGCATAGTTTGCTTTGTGTTCGTCGAATATGATTAGATTCTTTCGTTCGAAACATAAGCAAAATTAATTATTATTTTTATATATTGTTATAATTATTGTTCGAGAATAAGGGGACAAACCGAGATGTCACCATGCAAGCAACCGACTCCGCTACCCTTGTATATCCCACATAAGAGTACAGATCCGCAGTCTACGAATCGTTTTTATTATTTACACCAGTTTATAGGAGAATATACGCAGTTAACGCTATAATAATAATATAATAATATTAAAATTAATTATTTGTAAAAAATGGTTAAAAGTCTAATTGTTGTATATATGTCACAAGACTGAATTTCGTATGCATAAAATGCACTTTCTCATATAAAATGGAAATACCACAAGTCAGAAAAATTAATTTAGATTTAGAATTAGAAATGGCTTCGAGTGCAAAGGGTTAAAAGACAGCAAACCGACTACAGCATTGTGCTTATTTCACTAAGAATAAAGTACGAAAATTCTTGGATGACATATCTCAACTTTTAGGAATTTATATTACCGCCGTCTTCGAAATGTTTTGTTAAAATCTCAAATTTCCAAGCTATTATGCGGGCGTCGAACAAAAGAATAATATCTAAGATCCGCGGACGGCATAGTGTTAATATCGAGGTTCTATACGCATATAATATTCGGTACAGTCCCGTACAAATGTATGGATGCCTCGTGTCCTCGTTCTTTCGAAGAACACAGTTTCGCCGCATTTTGCACCTGAAATTCCGAATTTCCCCCGCGAACCCGACGACGTGTAATAACGGTGCGTTACAACGATTGTTACAACGATTACGTCGTAGCGGATCGTTTCGCGTGACAGTTGGCGGACTTTTAAAGAGTAAGCTCGTGACGTTCGTTACGTGGAAGCACCGGCGGGGGGACGGAGGGGGGACAATTAGTCACCGTAGAAAAGATAATCGTGAAGTAATCGCGATCGGCAATCTCGATCAGGTGACTTTACCGTTCGAACTGAGAATAAGGGCGACGGTAAGGGGGGGAGGGGGCGAGTATAGAATAGCCGTATCGATCGTTGGAGATAAAAAAACCGCGTCGGTGACAAATTCCGGCAGGAAAAATTGAAATGCTCGCGGACCAACCGGGAGAAAATGCCTCTCGGATAGAATACCAGATAGGGAAACTTTATTCCGGTAGCCTCCAACGCCCGGCTTTCGATACAAATATCTCGTTCGCAAGGCCATATGGTCTAGATAACGGCCCGGTGCGCGCGGAATGTTTACGCCGACGCTGTCTACTACGAGCCAGCGATACATATGTACAAGATCTCTTTCTGTGTCGCGTATCGATGAATCACGCTATATCTATCGTCATGGAAATTTGATTGTGGAACAACCGATTATCTTTCTTTTTTTTCTTTTTCCTTTTACGTAATCCTTCCCGAGATCGGCTTAGGACGGCTTCCCGTCGCCGCGACGTTGTTTATCAACCCTTTGCGCTCGAAGCTGTTTCAACCGAAAATATAAAATCATTTTTCTAACTCGCGGTATTTCTATTTTATATATGAGAAAATGCATTTTATGTGTGTATGAAAATTGACTCTTGGGACCCGCGCAACAGTTACACTTTTAACAATTTTTCAAAAGTTAATTTTGTTAATATCAAAATTATCCTAAAAGGTGATATAACAAATATTGGTGGTGCCTCAGAGTCGCCACTCGAGTGCAAAAGGGTTAATAATTTTGGCCGCGGTGCGACCGCACTTTCCTCGATTCCATTGTCTTCGATAATGGTTAGTCTGTCTCTCTCGGGGTTCATTTTTATCGCTCGAAGCGTTCACGCAGGGTTCAAACAGTTTTTAATTCAAATTAGTGGATATATGGTTTTTAATTCAAATCAGTGGACAGATAGTTTTTAATTCAAATCAGTGGACAAATAGTTTTTAATTCAAATCAGTGGACAGATAGTTTTTAATTCAAATCAGTGGACAGATAGTTTTCAATTCAAATCAGTGGACAGATAGTTTTTAATTCAAATTGGTGAACAGATAGTTTTTAATTCAAATCAGTGGACAAACAGCTTTTAATTCAAATCAGTGGACAAACAGCTTTTAATTCAAATCAGTGGACAAACAGCTTTTAATTCAAATCAGTGGACAAATAGTTTTTAATTCAAATTAGTGGACAGATAGTTTTTAATTCAAATTGGTGAACAGTTAGTTTTTAATTCAAATCAGTGGACAAACAGTTTTTAATTCAAATCAATGGACAAATAGATTCTAATTCAAATCAGTGGACAAATAATTTCTAATTCAAATCAGTGGACAAACAGTTTTTAATTCGAATCAGTGGACGAATAATTTTTAATTCGCGAGGGCATAGTTTTTAATCACGAAGACGCGTTTCAGGTACTCGTTTCAATCGAGTTCGCGTCACCGGACACGTAGGCCGATAAAAATCGCGCCGACATTCCGAATTTTCGAATGCACGCCATTTTTTATCGTGCGATATAAAATAGCCGGGTTTTTAGGGCTGCGGGAACCATCGTCGCGTTGCTATAACGAGCATCGATAAATCGGAACGAAAATCTGGCACGTGTACGCTCTCCTCTCCGGACGCACGTAACACAAATTCACCGGTTTTAAGCTATACGATATCGCGCAACGGCGAAAACGAACTCTTTAAGTTACATAAATCGAGGAGAAAACGCCGGTTTTCTGGCCGCGCGCGCGCGCGCGCGTGGCGACGTCGCCCGATCCGCCTCGTTTCACGCGTGTCCCGTTCGACTCGCGTTAAGTCGGACGGGACGAGTTAACTCGTCGGGGCCTGCTCGCGCCGACCTGTCGGCGATCGGTCGGATAATTGATCGCTTTTTCTTTTTGTTCTTTTTTTTCATCATTAATCGTATGGAAAACGCTGAAAATTATTATTCCGTACTGTCATGATCGAACACAAGACTTTTCTTGTTTGTGTGTCCTCCGATTCGCGCGTCCATCGCGGTGCACGTATATATATATAATCGTTTACAGAACGTTGTGTTGTAAGTAAGGAAAAAGTGATGGAAAAATAGTCTGATCGATTTGTTCTGTTCGTCGTGCGCGGTGATTTCAATGTGACAAAAGCCGGCAGGCACGAAGGTCGGCAGATGAATTCGATTTTTATTCGAGGGTCAATGCGGCGACGTGAAAATATTTACTTTTGGACATCGGCGAGAGGACGATAGGTTAATGTATTAGGCGTTAATATTTATAATAGTATTGTACGCTAATTTTTTCATTCGCGATTATTCGGATATCGCGAGGATACCATTTCTAAGTTGTTTGTTCAATGTATAATATATCTGTGTTATTACTCGCGGAAATTAGTGCAATAATACTTCGGTTCGAGAGCAGAAGAATTATTGTTACTTCTATTGATTTATTATTTATTGAATATATATGCGGGAAGATATGTATTTGTTATCAATATTTTAGCGATCCGGAAATTATAGATCGGTAAATAATAAATTGACAAACGATAAATCGCTGGACAATAAATCGGTAAGAAATAAATCAGCAAATAATAAATCTCGGTAGACTCGAAATTAATAGAAATAAGGCTCGAAAGATCTTCGGTAAGAAAATCGCTAAACAATAAATCGGCGAACAGTAAATCGGTGAGAAATAAATCGGCAAATAATAAGTCTCGAGAGGCTCGAAATTAATAGAAATAAGGCTCGAAAGATCCTCGGTAAGAAAATCGCTAAACAATAAGTCGGCGAACAGTAAATCGGTAAAAATTAAATCGGCAAATAATAAATCTCGGAAGACTCGAAATTAATGAAAATAAGGCTCGAAAGATCCTCGATAAGAAAACCAGGTCGATCCGAATGAATCACGGCGATCGCCGATCCGCGTGATTCACTGTCCGCGTTTCTGTTTCTCCGAACGCGCGGATAGTGTATCGACGCCGAGCCGCCGGAATATTCGGTGTTGCATTATGCTTGCCAGAGCCCCGCTTCCGGTCCCGGTCCGCGAGCCAACGGATCGAGCATGACCGCGTTAGAAAACGGTTTCGTAAACGTTCGCCGGATCCGTTCGTTCGCTCGCAAAACCAGCTGAAACGCGATCCGCGCCGGGCCTTGTCTTATCGATCCGATCCGCGAGAGATCGGCCGGGCTCGATCGACGACGATCATTTCACGCGGATGCCGTTACTTCCGGCTCGGAGGAAATTAATGATTCCGTGGCACGCGGCCGG